CAGAACTAAAAAATAACTAAAATGAGGAGATTAAAATTTTACAGTTAATTATGCATCATAGTTTTGTGTTACGAAGATCTCTAAACGGAAAATTTTTTATTCGAACAAAAAATATTTTTTGTTTTTAACCATTCTTTAGCAATTCTAGCAAATATTTTACTTTCCCCGTGTGCAATATATGGAAAACTCAAACCGATTTTTAGATGGAGAAATATGGTTGTCCCTATTTTCGATATTCTTCAATTCTCATGTTGACTGGAAAATATATTGGTGCACCCTAATGTACATACTTGTATAATTATACATTAGTAGTATTCTTATTAGTGTCAAAGCTTTTAATAATTATAATAGCATTTTTCAAACTAACATTTAGATCCAAAGTTCAATATATAGGAGTTCCAATATCTCTGGGATTCAAAGGCAGACTAGAAAATCAATTTCCATGGCATTGAAAGTCAAATAAGTATCTTTTAATAGCCCTGCCATTCGAAGGCAGACGTGAAGGTGTGTTTCCAGGGCAACCAAACCATATAAAAGAAAACATCGCAGAAGACGCTTCCGGGTGTATGTCTACTGCCAAGTTAATTTCATTTGAATTTTTCCGTTCTAAGGGAAACTGTGGCTATGCCATACCAAATGAAAAGGAGTAAAGGATCTCTTCAAAAGATCTGAAGGCCTCTTATTTTCCAATTTTGCCGACTGGGTACTGACTAATTTGAATGCATGTGTTTATATGTGTGTACATAAATTCTTCATCATATTTTTCACGCGTTTTTCACTTTCAAATCAACGTCCATTTATTTAAACCACAATTAAAATATGGCTAATTATAAACGCAAACAAATTATGGTTGTTATTATATTTATTTATTGTTTTATTTATTTTTTGTTCTGAAAAAATGTATTTGAATGGCAGATAAATTTTAAAAGCTACTTGAGAAAACCATACTCAGAGCGCCAAACAGATTGGAAATAACTGGGATGTGCCATGCTTCCACTCAGGGTAAGGTACTACATAAACTGCAATTTCAAGATACACTTGATCGACAGAAGTGACTGGGAACTTATTGTCGTTCTAAGCGATGAACAACTCCCAGAAGGACAGTGGAAGGGCATCTGGCGTCTTTTCCAAGAAACTGCTTTTGAGAGAGGACCACGTATTTCAAGCTAATATATAAGCAACGGACAAGGATACAAATTTGTTAATCTTTGTCTACTACAAGGAAGGTCATCAGGTCGATAATGATTATCGCTATATGCGCTCAACATTTAATCTCTCGCCTTATTACTAACTATATGACCGCCATATAAGGCGTGCCGCATAACGATTTTTTATAGAAGAGATGCATATAATCCATTCAACACTCCCTGTGCCAGTAGTTCCCCGTACTCCGGAAAAAAGCGCCCAAAATTTCTATATTTCTTAGAGAACTTAGAATTTAAGTATATAGGAAAACTCCATTATGGAGTCTACAAGGATTTGCCATGAACTAAAGGGCATGTCTATACCTCCTTTAGCCGAAACTGTCTAGCCTAACCCAACCTATTGGCAGGCTTTTTAGTAAGATTTAATTTTCTTATTGTTGGAATATTTCGCGAACAAGGGGACTTGTTTCACAACGCTAGGTAGCATGTCATCGATTTTTTAAGCATCTAATAATATTTTTTGTCTATTAATTTATTAATTTTTTCTACACACCATAAAATTTCCAGCGCTTAAAATATTATATTTAAGTAGATATTTATATATACATACATACACGAGTGTCATTCTAACTATGCCTTTGAGCTATTTCAAATTATGATATGTGATGATCATTCTAAATAAATATATCTATAACTTTGTAAATATTTATTTTTCGCCATGGACAATCTGCAACATGCAACTATTTAAACATCTGTCTGTGAGTAAACAAAACAACATATTTTTTAACAATTAAATCAGAACCACAAACTGTGCGCCGCGCCAAACGGTGGTCAGGTGACTCACACACAAACATTTTTTGTGAAATAAAATACATTATTTATTCAATACTATTCACGCTGTTTTTTTTTTCTTTTTTTTTTTTGTATTTCTGCTCCACGATTTTTTATGCGCAGATTGCTTTTTTATACTGCAAGATTTTTGCCATATTTACCGATAACCTCACCATCTGTCCGCTGTCTTTAATGTCAATTAGTGGAAATTATTTAATATTCAGTTTTGCACTTCATATCATGAATACTGAATGAACAAGCTGTATATTGACAAATTAAAAATCAATGTATATTTTAAATGAGCAAATGTTTTACTTAACTAATAAATAAGTAATTACTTAAAATGGTTATTTTTATACCAGAGTACAGAGTAATTTTAATACGTAGAGTTTCGTGGTGCGTGGTAAGTTGTGCATTTCACTTCTTAAATTCTAACTTTAACAATGAAAATGGTACTCATACGCCACGTACGAGTATGTATGCAAATGGCGCTGTACGATATGGCGTATGAGTAACATTATTTTATACTCCTATTTCATACAAAACATTATACCATATTTTCATTTGACCATTCACAACGTTTTTATTTATCCATCGCTTTTCATGGTTAGTAGCTTGATTCTTTTGCAAAAGATGTGTTATTTTTTTTTCTTGCTATTGAAAATTACCAGAGCCATAATCTTCGACCCAATATTCTGCCTTATACTGAGTTTCCCCTGAAAAAAAATTCACCCGAAAATGTTTATTCCTCCCATAATAAATATGCACATGGAAACCAAAAGTGAAATGTGAACCGGTTCTGGGAAAGTGAATATCATTATAAGACTCATTTAGTTGACGTGTTACCCCGATTTTTGTGTCATTTCAAAACTTAAGATTTTTTCTACAGTGTTATTTGTTTCAAATACTCAAAAATCATAATATTTTTTTTCATTTTTAATGCCGTGTTTATTAACTAGTTTTAGATTGTGATTATTTTAACCATATATCATATATAATAAACAAAAAAATGCTTTAAAATACATACTTAAAGGCAATGGCAAGCGATATGGTAATACTAATTACTAATGTCGATGGTGATGGTTATTGTGATGGTAATGGTAATCATATAGTCATATCATCATGCATATACACTCGAAGGTTTGCCATTGCCCACCGAGGGGCGACCGCTATCAGAAAAAAATATTTATTTTCTTTTGGTTTTGATATTAGTCGAAAACTCGGCTCGAACCCAGGCCCTGCGAAATGGCAGTGCACACTTCTAACAACTACACCATAGCGGCCGCTGGTGGTAATGGTAATAGTAATAGTAATGGATTGCTAATGGCAATGGCAAGGGTTGCGGTAATGTTAGTGGTACAGTATTTGGTATTGGTATGATAGTTGATAATAGTTCTTTGTAATGGTAGTGGTAATAGCAATGGTAATAGTAATTGGTTGTGGCAATGTTAATTATAACAGGTAATGGTACTGAGTTGTGGGAAATGTTAATGAAATTTGATATTGGTATGATAACACCGTGCGACAAAAACAAAAACATTTCAAAACACACGAAAGAATCGATATACTCACGAAACTATGGGTCAAATATAGTAAAAATGCGAATTTAGCTATTCACTCTGATGTCAGGATTTTTTTTTGAAAGGGATTTAAATTTTATTGATTTTGAAATTTAAAAAATATGATTAATTAAAAAAAAAAATTATTTTAAAAAAATCAATGCAATGTAAAATACCAGTATGGGTGCCAAATGAGTGACAAAATTATATAGAGTTTAAAAACAATAAAGTTTTTTGGTTAACAAGAACGAATAGGTATTGAAAATGCGCTTTTAATAAATTTTATCTTTTTAAGTTAATAAAGTTTGCAGGACGAAATTCGATGATGAGGTCGTGTGTACATATATTAGTCCTCAAAAAATAATTTTTTCACAAAAAAATATTGCAAATTTTCAAGGACATTAAAGCTCAGAACTTGAAAAGGACATTTTCCACACTCATTCGTTCTTATGCACCAAAAAAATTATTCTGTTATAATTCTACAGAATTTTTTTCTTGTATATGATACCCTTATTGTTATCCTATATTGCACTGAATTTTTAAAGAATTTGTTTAAATAGTCATATTTTTTAAATTTCAAAGCCCTTTTTTCGGTGTTTTTTGGAGCATTGAAGCCAAATCGACAAATTAAGAATTGTTGTCTGTCTGTCGGTATGTTTGTACGCTCATCACACGGAAACTAGTGGAATTGGATGCAGTATGTATTGCTAGGGGTCTGTCTAACTTAAAATATAGCAAGACAAAATTAAGGAGTTGCCACCTATTTGAAAATTGCAGTTTAAGTAAGTTGATAAGATAAAGTGTAAATATTGCAATATGGCTGCCAGAAGAAAGAGATTCGTTTAAGTAGGCTTCCAGCCACAAATATTTTTGTTTAAGGTTGCCACTTGTTTGAAAATTTTAATTCAATTTAATTGATAAGAAAAATTTAGCATTGCAATATGGATATCAAACTGAAGAGGTATAGGAAAGTTTGGTGCCGAAAATATTTTTTGAGGAGGGTTGCCACCTGTTTAAAAATTTTGATAAAATTAAATTGATCAAACAAATGAAATATTACAATACGGTAACAACAGCACAAAAATACTTTTCAGGCGCAGTGAAGCACGCCGCGTATTTGCTAGTATTTAAAAAAGATCAAATTTTTCTGATTCATGTTGTATTCAAAGTTTTGCCAAATACTTGCAAAAACAAATGGCTATAAGATTATAGCAATATGTCAAATATAAATGTGGAAACTAAGAATAATTTTTTTAACCTCGCATTACTTAATTTTTTTGCTATTTTTTATTTTAATTTCCGTATGCAGATTTTTGATAAAAATAGTCTACAGCAGTTTGTTTGAATTCTTCTCCACTAGTATCTATCACTGCAGGGACCTTATAAATAATGCATGCATATACATACATACATATACAACCATATACAAAAGAAAAAATAGAATAAGTAAATATTTCCCTCTCACCTTTTCTAATTCCCACTCAGCACATTTGTTGCGCAATTGATGCGTTGATGCTTCGTTTATTGTTGATGCTGTTGTTGTTGTTGTCGATGTTGTTGCTGTTGCGTTTATAGTTGTAGATTGGCATAAGCCTTCTCTTTACTTATTCACATTTATTACAAACAACGACCATAACTTTTCCACAGCTAAATATTTACCAACAGTGTTGCTCGTATTCTTATTTGCAGTGTTGTTGGTTGTATTTTCATCCCGTCGTACTCATTTTACGTGCATACATGCGTATGTAGGTATAGAATGTATGGGTAGGAGAACAATAGCGATTCACAGGCAGCAACGAGCCTGCATTCAAGCGCAAAACAACACCAACAACTCAACAAACAGACAATGAAGAATAATGTGGATGTGGTTGCCGAAAGCTGAATAAACCGAACAGCGAACAGCAAACGGAGGAACGGTGAACGGTGTACGGCAAAAGCTGTAGATTGAAGGATGTAAACTGAAAACTGACAATTGAGAACTGAGTAGTGAGTAGCGAAGCGTTGAAGAATAAGCGCCGGCTGCTAATTTACAGCGTAACTCAACCGAACAACGAACAGCAACGTTATCCTTCAATTATCCTTGTACATTTCTGCGCCGCCGGATTAGTTGCTTGTCTTGCAAATACACATCGTTTAGTTATTGTTTGCGGCGTTACTGAATATATATGTAAATACATACATATATACTATATTGTTAGTTGTTGCTTTTGTTGTTTCATATTAAAATCGTACGATTTACTATTGTTTAACATAGCGGTTATAAAATGATATTGATGTGTGTCGCGCTGCTGGTCGCAGTAGTGTTAAATACCCTTATTTCACATTTTTTTATTTTTATTCAAATGTTTTAGTTTTTCAACTAAGCTAGAAACGTTCACCCGTTGCGCATCTCTGCTTCAACAAGTATTCTTCATTATCATTTTGCTTTCTTTTGTTCGCGTACAAGATTTTCATTTTGCATTTTTTGTATTTTTGCTTTGATTGCTGCCTGTTTTTGGTTGTGGTTTATTAATCATAATTTTTTTTTATATCCGCACTTTTATTGTTGTTTGATGAACCGTCAGTGTTGGTGGGAATTTCAACACAAATTTGTGATTCACTGAACTTTGAAGCGAATAGCAAAAGATGATCGTAATGAAGTGTTTTATTCAAATATGTATCTTTATTAGTATGTATATCTATTTGAGTATATACAAAGATCTACTGATTAATCAGCATAGTGATATAATTATTGATGTTTACAAAATAAATTTTAATTGTTAATTCGCACACATTCTTGAGCGTGCGTCTACAGCTGTGGGAACGAGCAAGAGTGCGTTCATACATATGTACATACATACATACATACATATTTAAGTAAATATAAAAACCAATTTATAGCGAAATTTGTTCTTTGTACGGAGTTTATTATTTTACGCAGGCATACGTACACACCTACATACAGGCAAATGTACATTAGGGCGCCCATCGAAATTTTTTTTAGTTTTTTTTTAATTTCAAGACCCTACCCCCTAATTTCCTTCTTTTTTTTTGAGAAATATTATTGCCTATTTTTATAGATTTTTTAACAATCACTTGTCATTTTAGTTCAGAAAGTACGGTTTTGTAGATTTTTCGGTTTTTAAATGTTGCGAGAAGCGGATATAAAGGTCTTTAAAATGATGTATAATAATATATTGTCAGACTTGGATTGTTGAGAGTTTTCATCGGGCAAATAAAAACACATTTTTTCATTTTTTTTTTTTTACGTTTTGACCATCACTAATTTCTACAATTTCAAAATATGTAGTATTATCTAAAATGAAATCTATTTATTGCAATCGCATGAAAATTGTCGAAGTTAGGCAACTCTCCCAAATACGGCCTAGAATTTGTATTGTGAGTAGTGTGGCTAAGGAATTCATCAATATTTATTCAAAATTTATATATAAATACAACCGTTTTTTTAGCAACAAAGTGGTTCCCGGCCACCTAGAGTAGCTCCTCAGCATTCTAATTTATTATAATAACTGATTTTCAATCGCACTAATTAAAACTTCAATCTTCATAAAATTAAACAAACTTTTTAGCAAGCGATGAGTTAATTAATAGAAAAGTTACTGCGATTAAAATTTGCTATTTCAACCGGACAAAATATTGATGCCGGAGGATAACTCATACGCCATGGCAAACCAGTAATTTAGGCAGGCAAGTAGTCGAGCACACATGGCATCGGTGTGGACTTTTGTTTTTTTTTTTTTTGCGTGACTTATTACAACAAAATCTTAGAATAATCATTATTTTTGATCGATAAGATAAAAATCAAACACTAACAGTTTCTTTTGAGGGAAAAGTAAAACTTAAATATTGATTATTGTTTTTTTCATTTATATTGATTAAACTCAAAAAATAAAAATCGTCGCAGATTATGGTAAGACGTGGGAATATAAATAAATGAGTATAGCATAAAATATTTTAATTTTTTTGGATAAAATTTTTTAAATAATGATTATGCTTTCAAACTAGGGGGGGGGGGGGGGGGAAGCTGGTAACTGAAAACTTTTCTCACGACCGTTACGTTTTTAGGTTTTTAGTTTTTTAATTAAAATGAATACTAAAAGGATTTAAAGAATGACACTTACTCCCTCCTTTATATTTCTACGCTTATACGCTATATGCTCCAGACGACGTTAGGGGCCCATACCAACACTACATACTCAAACCAAAACCGTTTAAATCACAGTTTTAAACTTGATACAAAATTTAGGAAAATTCAACAAATTTTCATCAAAATTTCAACATTTTATTCTAACGGTCTCCGGCGTTTTATTTCATAAGAAATTCCTACTATGTGAAAAAAGTGCAAAAATCCGCAAGCAAAAAAAATCTCAAAAATTAACACGATTTTTTAGACATTTGAAACTTGCACTTCATTACACTAAAATTGTATGGGCTATAAAATTGCATACCTAAAAATTTTTCTTGTCTCAAATAGACAAAATAAAATATGAGTGCTTTTTTTGATCCAGCTGTGTGTACAAGAGCCAGCTTTAACCCATATCGGACTAATGTAACTACAACTGGTGTCAAGTGTTGCCATGGCGTATGAGTAATATTGAAGAAACAGCAGATAGACATTTGTAGGAGTAAGTTTGTTTTAATAAAATGTTTAACAATTAATTTTCTAGATTCCCTATTAAAATAGAAAAAGCTTTGTATGGTGAACGCTGCTGTTGAGTGTAGAACGCAGGTCCAAGAAACATACAAAAATAATAGAAACATTTTTTTTTTACTGAGGCACAGAAATTTCGGCAGGCAATTACGAATCTCCGAGTAAGATGTAGAATCTAACAACTAACGAAAATTTGGGCTCTCAATAAACAGTTTATTCGATATGTATGTGATATTTATGTGTCGGCCTAAAATAAATTTAAAATACATACGATTTTATTTTATGTTAGATTTTAAGTGAAAAAAGCTCTAATACATACATACGTACTTCTCAAAACAGCTTAGCACGATTTATTTATGTACGTCACGACAAAAAGTTAATTTATAAATAAATAATCTCCACTCACGCAAAAATAACTTCGACGAAATCACGATTACTTCAAATGCATATTCACTAACTCTGAACTTAATGTCTGAATTAATAATTTACCAATACATATTTACCAACAACTACACTAACAAATTGAAGTAACTTCGTTCTTTTCAAAAGAACAATAAGCGATTTTATGTGTACACGTTCAAATATTCATGTATGAGTGAGTTGAATTTTCGGCTCTCTCCCAGCTGAGCATTTTGCAACTATGTAAATAACTCACCACACTAAAGCACTTTACACCGTGCTGCGTTCGCTGCTGACACTTCTACACAGCGACGCTCTACCAGTTGATATCCTTTAAGAAACTTTCAACGAATAGATATTTTTTTTGCAAACCCTTACGCATTTCCACGTATGTATGTTTATTTATTTGTATGTAAGTGTGTAAGTGCACATTTGTAACGGTCGAAGCCACATGCAAGCACAGAGAATAAGCCCCGTCTAGCCTGAGTGAGTAAATTGGAGATACTGGGACTAGGCTAACGGTACGAGAGTTAGGCGAATGTACTCGAGTAGCGTGGAGCCGCAAAGCTGCTGGTATGCATGTTTAGTTGGCCATAGAGGAAGCACGCAGGTTGTGGTGTGGACAATATTTGAGCAAAGAAACGGAGGCAGACATACATACTCGTGTCTGCTGCTTGTAATGCTTGATGGCGTGGAGTGCGCAAAGGTACCAACCACTACAATGGCACTACATTAATACACTTGAAAATTAACCTTTTGCGAAAGATTTCTGGCATGAAAAATTTTGAATTAAAATCTGATATTTTTTTAATATTTTGAAAATTAATTTAGAAAAATCGGCTAATGACTAATTAAAGCCAACTTAACTGTACTACCTAAATATGCAGCTTTTATCTACAAAAAAAAAAACAGCTTGCGGATATTAATTGTTTTATGTTTTAAATAAAATCTTTGTAAAAAACCTTGACATAAATTTTTGGTCAGGTATAACAGTTAATAAATTTTAAGCCACTTAACAACTGGAAATACAATTTGGGTAACTTGCAACAGAATATAAATTTTTGGAAATTTTAATTTTCTGGTCAATTTAATTGGGCATAAATATTAAGCCATTTATAAACTCGAAGTACAATTTTAATTAAGAAAAATCTGGATATATTATTTTGGTAACATAACTTCCAACATAATTATATAAATTTCAATCAATTTAAAAATTGCACATAAAGTTTAAGAACTTTGTATATTGTTTAAAATATATAAATATTTGAAAACGAGACATCAATATAATTTAATTAAAAACAGCACAAAAGTTTGAAGCCTTAAAAATCGGGACTATAGATTTTCGTTAATTAAAAAGTTAACTTAATTAATTTTTTTTTTTTTTAAACTACACAACAAGTTTTGGTCAAAACCTGGACCTATGGAGATCTGAAGCCATTTAAAATCTGGACATAAAATTTGGTAAACTCGGGATATAATTTTTTGGTAACTTAAAAACTGTATGTATAAAAATTATAGGAAATTATAAAACTGTACATTCAGTTTAGGTCGTAAAATATTGGACATAAAATTTAAGCCAATTAAAAAATGGACTTAACAGTTTTGTAGATGAATAACACGCAATAATTTTTTGAAAGTTTAACTTGTTAACTCGAGCTTAACTTGATGTAACTTTTTGGAAATTTTAAAACTGGACATAAAACAAAATTTTTATATTTTAAGCCATTTGAAAATTGGCCATGAAGTTTTTTTTGCACATAATTTTTAATAATCTAAAAACTCGATATAAAATAATGATACTTTCAATTTAAAACCTGGAGATAGACTTGAAAAATGTTACGTTGAATTTTTTTATTTTAAAACTGAATATAATTTTTTGGTAACTTATCAACTGGAGATGACTTTCTGAAAGCTTTTAAACTTGGAGGAAACTGGATGTAAATTTGAGGCCATTAAAAAGCTGGACACAAAATGTGTGTAGTTTCTAAACCACATATATGTAAATAATTTTTTAGTTAAAAAAAAAAACGGACCAGAATTTTCGGTCAATTAAAAATTGTACAAACATTTTAAGCCATTTAAAAACCGGACCTACATATTTATAATTTTCGTTAATTTCTAAACCTCAAATATTTAACTTTTTAATCATTTAAAAATGGACATACTTGTTTGGTAAATGAAAAACTGGTCAAAACTTTTAATTGAAAAATTGGATATAACCTTTTGGTAACTTAAAGACTAGATAAAAATACTGCGCTTGCCAGGGATGAAGTTTTTTCAGTACAAAAGAGTAGCTTAATAAATGCAGTTGGAATTTTTAAAAATACCATATTTTTTGCAACTATAAACGTTGGTATTTTTATTTTGTATGCAGAAGTGGTGTCCAGTAAGATACAAAACCGTTTGCATGTCCACTTTTTACTATTCAGTTTTATAATCCCACATTTTATCAAATATACATGTTTATGTGCATGCTTAGCCATTAAATTGTTTAATAATTTTTTCATGTATGTATTACGATTTCCCATATCTTTTATCCACACATCTGGCAACCACTACGACAGCTTTTACTCGTCGTGTTTTTTCTCTTATTTTTCGCACTTGCCTCAGTCATTCAGGCTTTTATCCTTGAGTCGAGCAGCTGCCACAGGATGCTTAAATGCCCGCACAAACACCTACACTCGATTGCCCAACAACACGTACACACACACACACACACACTCATGCAGACTTGCGATTAGAAATCGCACAGGCACAGGGACAAAAAAAAATAAATAAATACGCGCGCGCACCGCTCGTATCCACCAGAAAAGTATTCGCATTTACACTTGTCGCGCCAGCGTTCGTATTCTTTCTCCATTCGCGTGCTGTAGCGGCGGCGACGACGACGACGTCTTCGTGTGCGCCAGCGGCGTGGGGAGATCTGCCGCACTTAACGTCAAAATGCTTGCATTTTTTATTTTTTGTTTTTGTTTTTTTTTTTCATAGAACTTTTTCTCGCCCGCTTCTGTTCATTTCTCACATACAGACATACATACGTACATACTTTATATACGAAAGTGTGTAGAGGCAGCTTTTTTTGCGCGCACGACTGGTGAAAATACACACGAGCACGATTTTCACCTTTTCGACGACGACAACAACACCATTTCAACTGCGAAGTAATGCAACAACAACCGACGATTTATTTTTTCCAGACACACATTTTTTCGCACGCGCACACATATGTACATACGCAGATATGTAGATATATATATACATTTTCATTTAGCGCAATCATATAGTTTGTCATTTTGATTCGCCTATTCACCCAAACACCAGCGTATAAATATTTTATTTTTCATAAATTTTTCACACAACCTTCTTTCACTTACACTTTCATTAGTAATTTATTTCTTTAATCTTTTTTAATACATATTTACTTGTGAAATGCTCGCATCACTTTCCGCGCATTGCTACCCGTTGCAAATTCAAATTCGAACTAACAGAGCTGAGCGCCAAGCTAACTGCATGAGGCCACATCGCCCTCTATATGCATGTGTGTGTGAGTGTGTGTGCCTGTCTGTATGTGAGTCGGCACGTATGGCTGTTGCTTTTGTTGTAGCCCTCTGTTGCTTTTCGCTTGCTGCTGGACTTTTCCAGGGGAGCGCATGCAAAATGGTGAATTCGTCTGCTGGAGAGTGAGAATTTGCGTACGTTTTTCGTCACCTCAGAGCAGCTGTTTGTGTTGCTGGTTGTGTGCGAAAAAAGCTTTCGTGGGAGAGCAATGCAAATGTCACAGGTGTCCGACAAAACATTGGTGGCCGAAAAAATGTGCCATGAAAAGTAATTGGAATTTTTTGAAGAGAAACTATTCGTCACAACTTTGATTTTTCCCTTCCGTTTACAACTTTCTTTCATATTCATAGTTACATGGTGAGGATGTACGAGGCGTATGAGTTATCAGAACATTGCATTTTAGAAAGTCGATATTAATTCGAAGAGGCCTTTTCCTATATCTACTAAATCCATTTCAATGAATTATTTCTATTGGAATCTATAATAAAGGGTATAAAAAATGAAATGTGGCAAGGGGGCGTGGCACCTCCCGTAGGCCGGACATTTTTTAATCAGCTATAACTTCGAAACCGTAAATCACATGGCTTTGAAATTTGGTGTGTTGACATACATATCTACGGTAGATGCTTATTGTAAAGTAGAAATACTTTAGTAAAAGGGGCGTGGCACATCCCGTAGGCATACAATTTTTAATCAGCTATAACTTCAAAACCGTTAGTCACATGACTATAACTTCGGACCCGAAAGTCATATGACTTTGAAATTTGGTGTGAAGATCTATTGTAAATGCATACAAATTAGTTTCTGACAGATGGCGCTGGAGTCGAGGTATTTAGAGAATGCGTTTTTATCGTACGACCAGGATTAACGGGTTTTGAATTTATGATAAGAACTGCTTCTGCAAAAAATTTACCCAAAACATAGATGGCACTGGAATCCAGAGGCTTATGAGAACGGAAGGTTGTGCTCTTGAGTCGTTCCAACTTAAATTAATAACACCGGATCACAAATTTTCATTTTGATTTTCTTCTCCAGACGCCACTATACAATTTGTATGTAGAATTGCTCGCTGAATCCGAAAATCGAGTTAATTTTTTTTTTTGTATGTATACGTTTTCGAGATATGCAATTTACCGTTATTCCGCTTAAAAAAAAGAGTGGTTCCACTTATTCAGGTATATCTTACGAACCAATTAAATAATCGCTATATGAGATACGGCAAATGAAAGCAAATAAAAGCCCTGACAGTTTCTGAGAAATTAATTCCAGATGGTGGAAAAATGCCAAAAAAAAAAACTTTAACAGGGAATCAATTCAAAAAATAACAGCTTCCATGTAAATGTTTTGCACTTGTGTTAAAGCCTGTTCCTTTAGAAAAAAACTAAGCTACCAATGAAGAAAACCGATAGATAAATAAGAAAATAATGATTGGTTAAATGAAAATGCGCAAGGAATTTTTGTATGAAATATGAGCAGAAAAGAGTGTTACTCATACGCCACGTACGCCTGAGTAGGTAGGGTGTTGGCATCGAAAACAAGAGGTGTCAGAAATGATTAATTAATTTCTCAGAAACTATCAGGACTATCGAAAAGTAATCTATAAACGGTTTATGAAGAATTTTATTTTCTTTCATTTGCCGCACCTCGTATTATAATTATTTAATTGGTTCGTAAGATATACGCGATTAAGTGAAACCACTATTTTTTTTTTTAGCTGAATAACGGTAAATTGCAAATATCTTGGAAAAGTTATCCATAGAAAAAAATATTATTACCTCGATTTTCGGAATCACCGAGCAATTCTACATAGGAATTGGATAGTGGCATCCATAGAACATTTTTGCTTTAAACCAGTGTAATTTTTACTTTAGAAGCCGTATTTGCTTTTCAACACTATTTTTGTATTGGTCAGCGCAAAAGTTCTTATCAGGCGTCACCTAGCAAGCTGGGCATTGGCAACTATAGAATAAAATTTAAGTAAATTCTGAATTAAATTTGAAAATTTGACGAACTTTCCTCATTTTTGTACACACATACATAGTTTGAAATTCGGATTGGATTTTTCTTCATAAAAAAAATAACAAAAGAAAAATAGCAAAATGTCGAGTCTATATTTATATGTTTGCCACTGTACATATAAAGGGGGTCACAATGGGCCAATATTAACATTTTTATGAGGAGGTGTGCTCTCCAACCATTCCAACCTAATTTCTCTAATAGCTCAGTGATGCATACTTGGCATGGCATGAGAGTTGTCACATAAGGAAACGATTAACCGAGGATCCATGGAATCGACCTGGCATAGGTGATCACGCCCATATGCTTGAGACCAAAAATTGGGGCGAATATGTCACAAAACCTCACAAAATATGAATTTGCGAAAACCAGCCTTAAAAAACTTGCCAACACTTGAATTGTTATATGTAGAACAAAATAATGTTTATTTAGAATTAAATATGTATTATGTATGTCCGTATGTACATATATATGTATGCACGTACATAAGTCTCACAACAGTATCACTACTTAATTCTTACTATGTATTGAAATAGTTCTTAAAATCAAACTTAAAATATACATATGTTTTTACTTTTTTTTCACATTTGCTCATTACAAATTAAATAGTTTTATATGTATGAATATTCGCGTTATATTTTGTTTTTTTTTTTTTAATATGATTTTATATATTTATTATTACTTTCTTATTAATATAGTACATTTAATGTGCAAAAGTTATATATGATTTATGTATGCTTGTAAAAATTCTAGGCGTATTTATTGCTAGTTTCGATTAATCGAGTCATCAGTAGTTTAGTTTTAAAGAATATATATAGGAAATTCACGTAACAAATGAGATTCAGAAATTCTGAATAAATTGAATCTAGTTAATTAAATACATGTAGTGGTAATAGCAAATATTTTAAGAAATCAATAATTCATATTTTTTCCGTTATCCTTAAGACGATTTTGCTTGTGGCACAACCAAAAAAAATAAATATGTAAATGTTTTTATATTTACATAAATAAATAAATTAAATTAAAAACAATTATTTGTGCTCAAGATAAATAAATAAATAATTCGTAAATGCTTTCTAAAAAGCGATTTGTTCACTTGGTTTTCAAAGTAACTCTTTTTATTTTCTTGTGTATGTGCATACGTGCGCCTAGGAGGGCGGCATCAACTCGAACATGGCATACTTCCAGGTCCAAGAACGTGCCAAGTTCTCAAAACGGGCACGGTTGTGCTCATACATATAACCTAATTCGGGTTCCATGCATATCTAAAATCGAAACAATAAAAAACACACTTTAGCATGAATTTAATTTAAAAAAAATAAATAAATAAAATATATAAACCTCTGTATATGGATCTGTGAGCAAACTTTGCACCGACAACAAGATTTTCGAGACGTTCAATGCTAAGGACCAGTTATGCTGGAAAATATCGATACCCACATCACCATGGCGTGACACATTCGGATGAAGAATCTTTGTCAAAAAGCGTACAGTCGGTGGAATCATTGGATAGCTAAAGATATATTTTCATTTGAATTGGGACTCTTAAAAAATTAAAAGTCATTTTGCTACGTACCGTTCTGGAAAAAAGATATAAAGGAAGAACTTGCCACCTTCGTATGGACTGCCGGCAGGTCCCAAAATGCTCGCCTGCCAATAGGTGTTTTGCTTGTCTAAGGGTATCGCATCTATGCCCTCCGTTGCATGGCTATTCAATTGATGTGCATCGTTACGCAAGAAATTCATTCGTATCGCATTTTGGCGTGCACGCGGTGGCGACTTCAAAGCCATCTGCAGCAAACAAGTTCGGCAAAAGCAGGAATTCATCAATGCGCTATACAATTTGAGCCAATTCGGTACATCAACGATGCACTGAAAGAGAGGCCAGCGCTCTTTCAAATAACGCATCCACATCAATTGGGATGTGTTTTGTTCTAATATGCTACGCCATTGCTTGCACACTTCACTCGCCTTCCACATCGACATATCGTCCAAGTGGGAGAAAATAATGACCATGATTTCAACGGGCAACATTAGGATGTTATTTGGCGGCGCGACGGGTGCGATTGCTTCACGTGCATTCGCACGCCCTTCACATAGCAACTCTAAGAAATCAGGCAATGAACGTGGTGCTAGTGGACGTGGTCGTTGTATAGGTAACAATGCAACATTTCCACGTTCGCCTTCGCGCTCTAGCGAACGGCGCGGCTGTTCTACTTCTGCAATTAATGGAGGCACATGATCAACTTGCATTTCTTGTGCTGCCATAACAGGTGCATTTCCTATTTCGGCCTCTAACATGCCAACACCCTCCTCATCATCGACTTCATCTTCGACCACGTCATCAACATCGTCATCATCGTCGTCGACGTCGTCATCTTCATCTACTTCTTGTTTATCTTTGAAAGGTGGCTCATCATTACCTGAATCTTCATCATCTGAAATTGTGGTTTCCAACTCTTCGGCAGCTTGTGTATTGTACAGAAAAGCGTGACAGGTGCCGCATAGCGGCTCATCAAAGTTCGGGCCGTAGTATCCATTGCAAACCCAGCAGGCAGTGCTGCACTGTAAGTGGTATTTTGAAATAAATTAAGAATTTGTATATACATACATAATTAATGCCGCTTACCGAGAAGGAAAATGTATCTTCGACGGCTTCCTCCAGCTCTTCATCCTCGTCGTTGTCGCTACCATTCAGTTGCTCCAACAATTTCTGTTGCTCCAATTGCTGTTTTGTGAGGCAAGTCGCCATTTTTTGCATACGATTAGTAGATTGCTATAGTTTTCTTCAAGTAGCTTTGTTTTTATTGATTGTAGACTGTAGATAAATAGAAAATAGCCGGATTGGAAACAAATTAGTTTAGCAGCTGTCAGCTGTTGCTGGCACAGGACTGCAAATTTAAGTATAATGCTTTGAACACATTAAAAGCGACATTGTCAGGCGACAAAAAATAATCAGGTTCACTTTTCACTTTTTGTTTCCGTGTATTTACTAAGGGCGGCCGAAATACGTTCTGCTGAATTGCTTTTCGGTAGAAACAGAGCGCGACATAGTAAGAAAAAAGAGAAATTGAAAATGTTTATCAAGTCGGAGATGGGCTTGCTAAGCCTTCTTTTTCCATTGAGAAGGGTAATCATTTTAGCTAAGTACGCTATAGGAAAAGCTCTCTATTTAAAAAACAAAAGAAATTGGCTGTGCCGAAGAACGTAAATCTACCTTCTTACGTAAATTTACCATCTTTGGCTGTGCAATGGTTATGAAATCGACTTATCCAAAAAACTTGTCACTCACTTGTTACTCATATTTTGGTAAATTTATACTTTTTTTTTTTATAAGTAAAAAGTGCAACACTTATCAACTTTACTTACAAAAAAAAGGTTTATCCAAAAGTTGTTAAGGGATAAGTGATAAGTCGTTGGTGCAATTGGGCCCAGTTCGTGGAAAATTAAACTCATGTTAAGGCTGATTAGTGCTCATTTACACACGGCGATTTTTGTTGCGGCAACTCGACGTTTGCTGGAGAGAGCGTGACGAGGAAAGCAGAGGGGCACCGAGTTGCTCGTGCTCGGGCAACACGCTTTGTGCTCTCACTCGTCTGTGTAAGTGTAGTGAGTTAGCGGTTCACAGCTGACAACAACAATTGCATAAATAAAGTCGCCGTGTGTAAATGAAACGAGCAACACCAAAACAGAATGTGAAAAATCGCCAAAAAAAAAAGTTTCCGTGTGTAGACACAGCATTATGGTAAAAGGAGCTAGAAGTTGACTAGGGAGATGGTTGGCAACGCTATGTTAAATGTCAAAAAATTTATTTGACAGCACCCTCTGTGGTGTTTTTCCAAAGAATTGCCGCGATCAAGGGATGGGCGATGATGAGAAAACATCGATTTTTTCATCGGTATTGACATCGGAGTGTCATATCATTTTCAAATACGAATTTGTTCCCGTGCTCATCAGAAGTATGTAGTTCTATTGGAAGCGTTTGCGCAAATTTTAGCATTTGTTCTCATGTATTTTTCCCTCGAAATTATGTGTATGAGTTTCAGATTTGTTTAAAAAACTTGAAATCAAATAAAATACTATACTACATTCGCCTTTTTATGAATTATAGTTTTACATACGAACAAACTCGTATATCGTCACCTGAAATGCGAAAGTATGTATGTATGTATGTATGAGCACTAAAGAGTACCCCCGCAATCGATTATAAAACATCGATATTTTACGTCTTATCATCGATAACATAGAATATCGATGAATATCGGGCATTTCTACCGCATCCATGTGTGTAAATTTGATTCACCTGTTTATTGTTAAAAACACGTCAATTTAAGATTAAAATTTAGATATGAAGCCAAAAAAGAAGTTGGGTAAGTTTTACAAATAACTTGTCATATAATCCATTTAATTAAATGCTCTTCTCAGGAGTTGGCTTAAGCCGCGAGGAACGGAGTTTGATCGTCATTGGTGAAATTATACAGGAGCTTCTGAAAGCACATGAGGACAAGAAAGATGTTAATCTAAATCGTCTTAAAGCACGCATATCATCGAAGTATGGATTGGAAAGTTCACCACGTTTGGTAGACATCATTGCAGCTGTTCCTCAAGATGCTAAAAAGATATTGCTGCCTAAACTGCGTGCTAAGCCCATACGCACTGCTAGTGGCGTGAGTGCAAGAGTGCAATTTAAAAATTAAATTTTTAAATCAATAAATTTTTTTTTACGTAGATCGCCGTAGTCGCAGTCATGTGCAAGCCCCATCGTTGTCCACACATCAACATGACCGGAAACATATGCGTGTACTGTCCTGGTGGGCCGGACAGTGATTTCGAGTACTCCACGCAATCATATACAGGTTATGAACCGACATCTATGCGCGCTATACGTGCGCGTTACAATCCCTATCTGCAAACACGACACCGCGTTGAACAGCTCAAGCAGTTGGGACACTCGGTGGATAAAGTAGAATTCATCGTGATGGGTGGCACATTTATGAGTTTGGATGAGAAGTATCGAAACGACTTTATCATGAAGCTGCATGATGCACTAAGTGGGCATACAAGCCGTGACATCAAGGAAGCTATACGTTATTCGGAAATTTCACATACTAAATGCATTGGAATCACCATTGAAACACGGCCGGATTATTGTCTCAAGCGGCATATCACAGACATGTTGAATTACGGTTGTACGCGTTTGGAAATTGGCGTACAATCGGTGTATGAAGATGTTGCACGCGATACTAATCGCGGTCATACTGTGAAAGCAGTGTGTGAAAGCTTTCAATTGGGCAAGGATTCGGGTTACAAAATTGTGGCGCATATGATGCCCGACTTGCCGAATGTGGATTTCGAACGTGATTTGGAACAGTTTATTGTAAGCACAAAACTTTCTACTGTAGAGGCAAAGATTATAGAAGCTTCTTTTTTAGGAATACTTTGAAAATCCAGCTTTCCGCTCGGATGGCTTGAAAATCTATCCAACGCTTGTTATACGCGGAACTGGCCTCTATGAACTGTGGAAAACTGGACGCTACAAGTCTTATCCACCATCGATGCTGGTCGATTTGGTGGCAAAAATATTGGCACTCGTGCCACCATGGACGCGTGTCTATCGTGTGCAGCGCGATATACCAATGCCGCTAGTGAGGTTTGTCACGTAATGGTAATATAAATAAAATATACTTTACTAATGCGATATACTTACAGCTCTGGCGTGGAACACGGCAATCTACGCGAGCTTGCCTTAGCTCGTATGAAAGATTGGGGTACGGATTGTCGTGATGTGCGTACACGAGAAGTTGGCATTCAAGAAATACACAATAAAGTGCGCCCTTATGAAATCGAACTCATACGACGCGACTACTTTGCCAACGGTGGTTGGGAGACGTTCCTCTCCTACGAAGATCCAGAGCAGGATATACTGGTGGGACTGTTGCGTTTGCGTAAATGCTCGCCAGATACGTTCCAAAGCGAGCTGACTAAGGTTGGACAATGTTCGATTGTACGCGAATTGCATGTTTATGGATCGGTAGTGCCGGTCAATGCAAGAGATCCAACCAAGTTTCAGCATCAGGTTTGTGAAATAAAAAATTCAGAATTAGAATCGATTTACATATACTGCTTTCGCCGCATTTTCTAGGGTTTCGGAATGTTGCTAATGGAAGAGGCAGCTCGTATTGCACGCGAGGAGCATGGCAGCGTAAAATTGGCAGTTATTTCTGGCGTGGGCACACGTGCCTACTACCGTAAACTAGGCTACGAATTAGATGGCCCATACATGTCTAAAATGCTTATAGACGTTAAATAAATCCAAACAGGTTTTTAAAAAGAAATTCGTTTCGCCGAGGAAAGCTCCATATGTTGCAATTCATAAAATTTAACACAACTTGTAATAAAGCGTACGCAAATAACCAATTTACGTTTGGTTTTACTATTCTTATTGTAATTAGATCTGCTTAATATTGCATATCACGCATATATAATTTACAATACTCCTTAAAAAATATGTTTCTCTAATTATTTGTAGATATCGAACATTTAAATATTATACAAGAAATCACATACATAATTATAGCCTTCTATCCAGTCAAAAGAAATATGTACCAGACCTATATTTGGAAAAACATAAAACAGTCAGTGCGTCAAAAAATGTACAATATGCTTTTGGAGTATGAAGAAATCTTATGTTCGGAAATCATACAATCGCCTCGGCTGAGCCGAATATAAGAAACACAGTCCAACCAACTAAATTTATAACTGCAGCAGTGCTAAACACAATCGGCCAGCTTTGCGTTATCTCCAGTATATGTCCAGCGAGATAAACACCCAAGAAGCCAGGAACTGCGCCAACAGTATTCATCAAACCGAAAACGCTACCCGAATGTGATGGCGCCAAATCTTGTGGATTCACAGTCACGGCATTGTTGTGGAAGCCAGTACCACCTATAAGAAATATGTATGTAGTTTTAAATTTTCCCAGTTTCTGTAAAACATAAATTCCTACCAATTATAACAGTCATGCATATCAGTGCTGTATGAAAATCATTTGTGCGCGCCATTATGAATAACGCCAGATTTTGGGACGCAAAACAGCAACTTTGTATGATCTTCCTCACAGCCGAGGTAGACCAATCGCGGGCCAGTAAACGTCCTGTTAGGTAACGCGCAAAAAGCGTACATGGCGGCAAAGCAAGCCAAGGAATCATATTGACTACCCACACTTTGGCATGCGGAAATCCATCATGGAAATATGTTGGCAGCCAAGAAAGCAACACAAAGAAGCAATTCATTTCGCAGGCATGTGTGAGCACGCACGCCCAAAATGAAAGCTTCCTAAAGTAGCGCAACCACGGTACATTCTCCAGAATTTGTTTGTTGGCACAGAGTCGTGATGGGGCAGATACATTGATGATGCGTCCGCGCTCACCAGCCATGGTATAGTAGCGCAACATTAACGCCCAAGCTATGCCCAAAAAGCCAATAACACGAAACACATAGGGCCAACCAAAATAATCCAATACAAATGAACCAAGACTGCCTGTAAGCAGTGTGCCCAGAGCGGAGCCGGCAGTGAGTAGACCAAAGAAACTTGTGCGTTCATTTGAGCTAAGATTCTGTTGGAAGAGGACAAAATAATAATGAAAATCAATATAATTGTCACCAACACACACTCACCTGACTAGTGAGACTAATCATGCTTGGAAAGTGCACACCCTGGAATGCGCCATTTATAATACGTATCGTTACAATAAAAGGAATGGAATATGCTTTAATCGCCGTTGAACTCCATATGATATTTGGCATGAAGAATGTAATCAAAGACCAGCCAATCGCAGCAAAGAGTATAACACGTTGACCACCAAAACGATCACTGAAGTAGCCGCCTACTACCTGAAAAGAAACGAAAAATTGGTAAGTTGTGTTAAAGAAAATGTAGGCAAATCTTTTGTGTACAAACAAAAAAACACCTGAGTCAACGTATAACCCCAAAAGAAAGAGCTGAGTACAGTGCCCGAATCAGTTTTACTCCACTTCTGCTCGGCTGCAACGGCGGGTATGAGTAGTGGCATAGATGTGCGTGTCGAATAGAGCATGCATGTGCCTGTGATGAGTGTGAGGAACCAAACGCGTTTCTCATGCCTGCAAATGTAAAAGAAAAATAATAGTATGGTGTATAGTAGATTTGCATCAAATACTTCATGTACCTTGTCCAAACGCTTTGATTATCCACCAGTTCGCCGCGCAAAAGCGAATATTTCAGTTTTTCATCCATGCTCATTTTGACTTTGTTTTTATTCTAGTTTTGTGCTACTGTTTAGCTGTTTTTTTTTTGTTTCTTTTTTTTTTATAGTGATGTATTTAAAATTCCACGTAGTAATTCTTAACTACCCCACACTGCATCCATAATCTTCTGCGTGGCTATGTCATTTTATAAATATTAATATGTTAAAATTACGTACATATATCCTTTCCTGTGCATTTTCATATGGACAAAATTGCAATTTTTGGTTTAATCTCTTTAAAAATGCCACGAAAAACTCAAGTATTTTATACTACCCAGCCTGCGGATTTGAAAGAAATACAATAAACAGCTGATTGCCAGAAGCAAATCATTCACAATGGTTAACAAATTAAACCCGGTGCTTCAAAGGCACTAGGGCATGCAAGGCTATTGCATCAATTAATCGCAGGTTCAATTTTCGTGAAGTCTCCGAAAGTAATAACAATCCGTTTAGCTAAAATTATGCGAGAAAAATAATCACAAAAAGCATTGGAACATACAATGTGCATCATATGTACATCGAAGCCAAGAAAGGACTTAGCCTTGAATGGGGTCGCGGTCAACATCGTCTCTGAAGTGAAGCATCTGGGTCTTATCCCGCACATCTACGATGGCAGCGCTGGAGGCAATTCTTGAACTGGAGAGCCTGCATCTGACAGTAGAACAGGCTGCAAACTCTTCCAAATTTCGCTACAGAGGCCATTGGCTTAAGTAAAGTCTTACCCGCTAGGAACATTTACAAGCTAGGCTCCCAGATCCCACTCTGTTCCCCAGAGACTATATGCATAGACCCCTGAGGATATTGGGCAGGCATATGTGGCCCTAGACTGAAGCTTTCAGTATCCTTGAGAACCTTCCCGTGCGTCTTCTAAGCGGAGGTCTATGCCGTTAGTCTTTGTGCAGAGATTAACCTTCGTAGGAATTATCGAAGTGAGAGGATCCTTATATCAGGTGATACTCAAATCCTCATTGGTCTTGGAGTACATAGAGAAGCTTAATGCCCTGGCTGTGAACAATACTATCCAGTGGATATGGGTGACAGGGCACATGGAAGTCGAAGGAAATGTGGATGCTGATCAGTTAACCAGAATGGCTGCTGCCTGACCTAACCGTATCACTATAACGGAAATGCTTACAAGAGAAAATACTGAGCGAACTGCACTGGCAAAACACCATGGGTCTCCGTTAAGTTAAGAGCTTTCTAGAAGGGTGAAAGCTAACTAGCTAGGTATACTTATAAATCTCCCAAAAAAAGAGCCAAAGAATTACTACACCTAGAACGAACTATGGTCCAAGTCGCTAGCCAGCAGCGTCTGCGTGAGCTGACAAAGAGACCCCGCAACCCTGTCAAGACGAGTCTTAGCACGTTCAACGACAACATTATGCTAGATGGTCGACCACCGTCCATCGACGTAGGGAAAGCATAAGTACCGCGGTGGACACGGTGCAGTCTACCACAGATCCGTTCTATGTCATGTCAGACACTTAATACCTTCCACCATCGACTGAACTCGGAAGTATGGAACACCTGCCCAGAAAACGGCCACGATTCTTATAACAGTCAACACATCTATGCATGCACCTCCAACCCGACTAGTCTGACACCGGAAGCACTTAGGGCTGCGAACGTAGACCTCACATGCTCTCTCCCTAGGCCACAGTCTCGTCGTTCCAGAAGTTGCAGAGGACGCCACTTGGCGAGGCATCCAACAACTGATACTGCAACAACAATAGAATCTTAATATCATAAAGAGTCGGGCTTCTATGGATATTTTCACGGATAGGGCAAAATTGGATGTCAATGGCATCTCTATCCAACAAAAATTTTGATTCTCACAGGCAACTGATTTATTGCTTCATTCATTCATTGATGATTCGCAACGGGTCGGACATTGTCTGACATCCCTTTCACTCGGATCTTGATACTCCGATTGAAGATTATTTGTGTAAATGCCAGAATATAGTGTTTTTGCAAGAAACTTTATAGCTGACGATTTTGTCAGGCTACCTTAAGCGGATGTTCCCAAGCAAAGAGGGTGTGAATACCACATTGAATACTAAAGTCATCGACAGTTGCGATTGGTATTTTTACAGGCCATTTTCTGATAGAAATTCATGAGCTGGGGATCTAGACCACTTTAACTCCCTGCTAGGAAAATTGTCCAGTCAGCTTCGCATCCATAGCCACTATGCCTTCGCAAAGATAGAATTTAAGCATCAGGGATGCAGTCTGCTACTTACTATATATCACAAAGGACGGTGGATAGTATCCCTTTAAGTGTGGCTCCTTGTGTGAAGTTGGCATTGAGAAGCCTATTGGATGGCGGAGTTCGCCATATCATCACTCCAGAGGTGTCTAAAGTCATTCCAAATAAATAAGGAAGTCCAAAAAATTACCTTTATTATCAGGTCTAATAACCTCAAATGTAGAGATAGAAATCTGGTAACTGACATTCTTAGCTCTTTTGAGTGCCTGAAATAGTAGGGCTTTTCAAAAGGAGCAACTCTTAGGGCGAGTTTTTCAGTAGCCGTGGTTTAATCTCAGTCTAAACGGCCGATCTGGCTGGTTTAAATCAGATTTCGGCCAGCTGTTCAATTTAAAGTCAGTTTACTTTATCTAAATTTAAACTGGCACCGAAAAACTGGCCCTTAAACTCTCGCCTACTATAAACCAAAATTAAAAATGTCCTTGATTTGGCACTTAAATATGAATAGGCATAACAATCTAGTGAATATTTTGGTTTGAGCTTTTTAAATTCCGAGAAATCTTCCAAAGTTACTTACTGATGTATATACATACAACAATGCCTAATTCAATTAGCATTCCAAAGAAATGGGTAATTACAAAAAAAAAACAAAAAAAAATAACTCAGTACGAGGTACTTTTCAACAGCCTGAGGAAACATGCATTTCCGTTCAATAACTTAACGCCACTTCTTTGAATGCATTTTAACATTGAAATTAAACAAAATTTAATTACCAAAACATGATCAATAAAGAAGATGCGAACATCACAATTTTTATTACAATTGATGATTATTTTATGAGTGGATGAGAGTAATTAAAAACAAAATGAATTAAAAAGGGCTGATTATTTCTCAATAAAATCAACATACCGACCACATTGCATGGATGCATGAATGAAAAATGCTGTGAAAAGTGCTATGGATCAGCTGCAATGAGTGTGCCGATACATACATATGTATGTATATTTGTACATATGCAATCACTTAGCACAAGTATGCTCATATGCACCCTGTAGGAAATTCTACAAGTACTAGGGAATTATGACGAGAAAACCTGCCTACCGAATCACTCGAACAAAATTTATGTCACTCGCAGTTGACTTCGTCTTTGTAGGAATTTGCAATGGAAAAAAGGGGATAAATTCAGTTATATTAGAAGAGGGGGATAAATCTTTGATCGCTTTGACATTTTCTCAAGTTCTGCTGAAACATTAAGTACGTACTACCGTTATCGCCGGTGCGGTAAGATTTGTATCTGAAGTTGTTGCCCCTTAGCGATATGCTTCAAAGTTCAGTGACGACACACTTAAAGAGAATATACATATGATGGTGTCTCTCTGGTTGAGTCACAAAGCCGACACTCGACCAAATCTACAGCTTATTCGGATGCCCTCTTAGTTTACAGTCTACGGTATATTGCACGGATATCTGTTCGTGTTTTAAGTTTCTCCTTTGGAAAGCTGATTCAAATATTGGAATCTCTTCATCTTATAGCCACCCATGAACCTTTTTTCTGGTGCAACCCTACTGAGCTTTGCCAATTAAGTCCTCTCCATGTGTTCTCTTCTAAGCTCTTTTCAATAGTCCTCTCCATGTGTTTTCTTCTAAGCTCTTCTTAATAGTGTATGACCATATACCGAGGGAGGGCTTCGGCATCTCATTTTCCTGTGTTCCCTTGTGGTCTGGTACCCATGCTAGCTTGGATTTTGTTGTGCCTACCAAGGAACTTACGCTGCCCAATGCATTCAAGGACTAATGATGATTCGGTTTCGCATGATGAGAGAGCAATGAGCGCTGTTTGACTATCACTTAGAATGAGAACCCACTCATTTCCGCAAGTCCTACGTAATTCTACACAGCTTGATGTCGTAAACTTCTGCCTGAAACAGGCTCGAATCTTTTCCCATATGAATAAGACAAGGCATCTTTGTGGTGGTACCGTAGATTCCTTTCACAATTCCTTCTGAAGTTTTCGAGTCATCTGGAGAAAACCCTCTCTTGCGAAGCTTTGTAGAGTTCGTTTGGCAGCGTGCTCGATATTTATTTAGACAGTTTATGTTTTCCTACTGGGTATGCCTGCCTATGCTTAGACTCCCTTCCTTGCTAGAGTACGTTTTTTTTTTCTTTTGGCTCCCAAGCATAAGCAACATCTTGCCTTTATGCACGCAGCACAGAGCGAGGGTGTACATGCCAGCAGCATATATACTGCACTTAAAAACACTAGATTATTATTACATAGTTATCTGCCTAAGTATGTATGTCATAACATAAATACAACAACAACATCTTTATATGAATTATGTCCCCTCGCAACGATCATTGAAGATCACTGAAGAATATGCTCGCATATCTGCTGCATGCATACATACATGTGTACATACATATGTACATATGTGTAAGTACAATTGTAGCAAGTGCGCTACAGCATCACCATCATCCCATCAGCTAACGCCACTCACTCTCTGAATATGCACCCCCGCTGCAGTTTTTACAAACACACACACACACACACACTACCCTCCCTATGCAACCATAAATCAATAATATTTTCCTGCTTCGTAATCTGCTTCATTCTCCATATATAAAAATAAGCAATAAGCAGCAAGCAATCTTTGAAGCTTTTCACGCAAATCGCCTGCCAGTTTACTGAGCGTTGAGTACTTACTCTGCGTCCATGGTCCTCTCGCCAGCTGAGGATTATCTTGAAAAAAAAATAAAAATTCAAGTATCTTGGCATCGCCGAATGCGCGAACGTCTCTTGCTCGATTGCTCTGCAAAATTTAAAATTCATTCGCTTGTCGAACCTCGTGCTGGAAAGTCATCCGAGTTGGTGTCGTGGTGGTTGTTGTGAAAGCAAAGTGAACGCGTTGGCAGCTAGATCCTACTAAGCAAAAGATCTCAAGCTGTCCGCAAGATAATCTAATTCTAATGTAGAGTGCGGGTATTTAAGTGCGCAGATTTTTTTTTTTCAGTTGGATTGAGCAACTTTTCGCTGTTAGAAAATTAAAAGAATCGCAAAGTTAATTAGAAACTTAACTAATAAAGCAGTGAAGTTAACATTGAGAGTGACTCAAGTGATTCGATTTGAGTGAATTTGAGTAAGGATATTAGATTGGAGCGTAAGTAACTAAATTACCACATCCTGTACCGCAATTTTCGTAAAATCGAAAGTCCATGTCTGTGTCATTAATTAATTAGGAATTAGTGTTTAATATTTTACTTGTTAAAAACTTTGTCGATGAAATATTTCGAAGGCGGCGATTATCAATGCAAATTCTCTTATCAGTGAATATAGCATTGGGACGCATCTACTAGACAGAAATAAATAATTAATAAATTTCATTGAGAACATGTTCTATTCAATTGTAAAAAGCCTCGTATATCTCGAAATTTGAGTTGGCTGAGTCCATATTTCTATGAAAAAGGACTACAAAATTTTGTTGCTTTTGTAAAGCAGTCAAAGACTACAATTTTTACAACTGAAAATAGGATTGAGCGTGCGACATAAAGTATGTATGTATAAAGTTTAATTACTGTTATAAAATTATTAGAAAATATTCTTAAAAAAACTTCGTATATTAAAGAATAAAATTATGATAGGTATTCAGCACGGCCAGCGCCTGGCCCTCTGGCAAAAGAGCAGTACTCTTGACAGCGGTCGTTGCTTGAGCTAATCTGTTCTTTTGCCAGAGTGCCAGGCCAATTGCTCAATTTAATGAATACCCCTATTGTATCTTTTAAGCTTAAGTATGTCACCATATTTTGTGTTGCAATTTTTTGTGCTTTATGAGAAAATGGCTACGAAAGGTTATCCTGATACTGTCAGTAGTGAGCTATGAGGGGTGAGAGAGAACAAAAGTCTGTTAACAATTTTATTGATGCAAAGGGTGCTCCCTATAACTTATCAGTAGGCATAATAGGGTTCAGGTTTAAAATTCAAATTAATTTAACTTGGCAATATTAAAAACAAGTGTTTTGTAAATAAGTACAATTTTTCTTTCATACGGATATTTAAAATAAAACTGCATTCAAACTTTTTTAATAAAACTACATATTCACAAAGTGGACCTCTTTATATCCTTCGGCCGTCAAGGGTTAAACATTTTTTTATACCAACATGTGGGACATCATATTCAAATGGAAAACAACTCATTTTTTTTTTTTAAATCTTCTACTTAATAACAATAATAAATTGGCGCTTACACAATTTTTTAGTGTTTGGCCGTGGTTCCTCCGATTTGTCGCGTGCGCCTTGATGTTGTCACACAAAGGGCAGGGACCTACAGTTTTACGTCGATACCGGATGGCGATTGTTTTTATGAGCAGCTTTTTTTCGTGGCAGAAATACACTCGGAGGTTTGCCATTGTCTGCCAAGGAGAGACCGCTATTAGATCAAAACTTTTTATTTTTTTGTCTTTGATGTTATAAGAAAACTGCGCTCGATCCCAGGTCCTGCGGAATGGGAGTGCGCACTTCTAACCACTACACCACAGCGGCCACCAATCATTTACTTGCTTTTTTATTTTGTCTCGCTATTTTCTTCTAGCAGCGAAAAGACTTTACATGTAAATTTGATTTTGACTTGACTCAGATTTATTTATAATATGGTGACCCTTTTTCGTCAATTACCCCTTTTTTGCGACTTTCTGAAAATTCTCAACGCCAACACTGCCCACAGCTTCCAAGACATTAAGATATCATTTCCATGAAATTGGTCAAACCATTGAAAACGAGCGGATGAGGTTAGGTTGAAAAAAGGCTGGTACTTAAAAAAAAGGTACAAACACATCATAGAAAGCTGCAAAGACGAAAAGCAGTACAACAAGTAATTTTTAGCAAAAAAAAAGCTCTCATATAAAAAAAAAATGTATATATATATATATCTCATGATCCACTGATCGGATCTTAACCAGATTAGTATGGGACCACCGCTGAGATACTACCTTTCCGATGCAAAAAGAATTACCGAAATCGGTTGACGTGGTCCAAAGTTATGCGGTAACATACATAAAAAATACTGATAACCGAATTAAACATCAATAAATAGATCTTAGGCTACGTTCACACAGAAAGCGGAGCCGAAATTGCTGTAGCTATATGAAAGTGTTCATACAGCATGCTTTTTCAGAAGTGTTTTGGAGCTGAAAGCAAAGCAGTTTTTTATTTAATTTTTAAGTGTCATGACGCTGCTGCAAACAAGTTATTAAAATAGTCAAACAAAACCAAATTCTACAACTAATCTTTTGAATAAAATTGAGCAAATATTTTTGTGCTTTTCATTGACGGTATTTTTTGTGGCATCTTTGCAGCCGAGTTCATTAGAAAAGCTCCGCTTCGCTTCGTTCAGTGTGAACACCAGAAGCTTCGCCTTGTTTCACCTTGCTTCGCTTGGCGGCGCCCGGCTATCTGTGTGAACGCACCCTTATAAAAAAAAAATTAAAATTATTGAAACAAATAAATAAAAGCAAAATTTTTAGTTAAATAGCTAGGCCTACATATGTGTACTTATGTAATCAATTTCAACTAATAAATTTGCACTTTGCCTTTGTTTTCTTGTTTGTTTGTCTATAGCAGCGATCACTCACATTGTCCTCCTCCAAGTGTGAATTTCATGCTCGCATTTTTAATTTTAAGTCAGATATTTCTTAATCAGTAATATACATATACATTTTTGTTTAATCTCTTTGCTTTTTTCAAGTTTATCAATTAAATAATGTCCATCCATAATTATGTGCATATGTATATATATGTCAATCATGTAATCATGTAAAATGCACGTTTTATTTTGCAAAAATATTAAACAATTTGTCGCTAGCCGCAAAAAATCAAAACATTCTCCATCGCATGAAATCATAATTTATCAACCTTTTGCCCCATTTAGTTGAATAAGTACAAGTAGTAAGTATACATACATACATACATATACTATATACAATTTCTAAGCGATAAGCGTCGAATTAGAAATGTTTTGAGCTACAAGTACAACGAAACTAAGCCAAGACATTCACAAACATATTTACATACATATATGTATGTATATATGTATGCACATAAGTAAACATTGTATAAGTATGAATGTAATTTGTACAAATAAAAACAAAAATAAGTATTTAGATTAAAAGTAAAGTCGCGCTATATATGCTGATTGAATTGTCTTTGGCGGTTCATTGGTTTTTAATTAATATTTTTTTTATAGTTAATCAGTGCCGCCGAGGTTTGAAAATACAAACAAATAAAAAAAAAAATGCGGCGTAATTTTGCTGCCCCGTCGCAAATCTCATTGCTTCACAATACTCCTATATGCATGTACATTAGGGCGGGTCAATTTGTATGGGAGATTTTGTCGACTATGCGCGTGTAGCACGTATATTCCTAAGAAAATTTGCCGAAGAAACGATGGGTCTAAAAAATGCTGTAGTGTTATACAGAAGTGCGTTTTTTTGGTATGAGGAATCCATTTTTGCATTTACTTTTTCCTAACACTTCCACCAGAGGGCGCACGAGTGAAAATTTTCACATTTTCTTCGAAACCTATGCCATACGCGCATAGTAAAATACAATTGGCCCGCCCTAATGTACGTATGTAGTATTTATTCACAAAGTAATTACATAATTAAGCGGGAATTTTCAAAGGCTTTCATATCTATGATCCCAGGGTGCCCTTTTAAGTTGATTTTTTTTTGAATCTGTTAGCGTATTAATTCAAGATTTAATAAAATTATAGTTTAAAAAACTAAAACAACCTATTATAATTGCCATTTGTACTGTCATCAGGTATGTAACTTGAGAAATCGCTGCATCTTTTAGGCGCATCAATATTACATAGTTACATCCCGAGCTAATAAAAGGAAGGTAAAAATCATTGACGACTTTCGCGACACGAAATCGCTCTGAGTACATCAAATGCTGTTTGAGGATACATACATTAGGCCATACCACCTTACAAACAAACAAACAAAAAATCACCGTACACCCCTGAGTCTAAAGTATTTTTGGAATTGGGGGAAAAAAATTGTACAACCCAGGGTTAACATTTTTTGGTGACACCTACATACATTCGACAATAATTATTATTTTTTAAAAAATCGAATAAGCTAATCGACTAGGACTAGTTTTGTGAACAGAGAGAAACTTTGTAAAAATAAAAGGTATAACAAGATCAATGCGAATCATT